AGGTTGTGTGATCCAAAATGATGTGTATGTTGTACATCATACTTATTTCATTTAAAGAATCAAGAAATCATTTACATGTAAAAATATGTATACGTTTTTAAAAATATGAAAATGTTTTTTGTTTTTGTTTCATTGCATGTAAAGTATTAATGTATGTACAGATTTTAGACCCCATTCCTGGGTTTGGGTTGGTTATCTGAGGTAACTGAACCCTAAAAAAGAAAATAAGGTAATGAGTCAAAAGTTTTTCACCAAGTGCTAAATGAAAAGTTAGTTACAGTAAAGGGAAAGTGCAGAAATGAAATGCAACTAGTGCTGAAAGTGTGTTCTTGTTTCCAGGTTCTACTCCATTATCTTACAGTGAGCCTTACAGCAGCATTTCCATCAACTTTATACACAATTTACAGGCAACAGAATGAAAAGGCATTAAAATGTTTTTGCTGCTGGACGCTTGTTTCCATCAAATTTACCCAGAAATAAAAACTCTATAAACTCTATAAAGCTATATACACTATATTGCCAAAGGTTTTCACTCTCCCTTCCAAGTCATTGAATTCAGGTGTTCCAATCACTTCCATGACCACAGGTGTATAAAACCAAGCACCTAGGCCAACTATCAGTGTTATTTAAACAAAGTGGAAGCGATTAGGAGCGACAGCAACTCAGCCACGAAGTGGTCGGCCACGTAAAATGGCAGAGCGGGGTCAGCGGATGCTGAGGCTCATAGTGCCCAGAGGTCACCAACTTTCTGCAGAGTCAATCGCTACAGACCTCCAAACTTCATGTGGCCTTCAGATTAGCTCAAGAACAGCGTAGAGAACTTCATGGAATGGGTTTCCATGGCCGAGCAGCTGCATCCAAGCCTTACATCACCAAGTGCAATGCAAAGCGTCGAATACAGTGGTGTAAAGCGCCGCCACTGGACTCTAGAGCAGTGGAGACGTTCTCTGGAGTGACCAATCACACTTCTCCGTCTGAGGTTTGGCGGTTGCCAGGAGAACAGTACTTGTCTGACTGCATTGTGCCAAGTGTAAAGTGTGGTGGAGGTGGGATTATGGTGTGGGGTTGTTTTTCAGGAGTTGGGCTCGGCCCCTTAGTTCCAGTGAAAGGAACTCTTAATGACCAAGAGATTTTGGACAATTTCATGCTCCCAACTTTGTGGGAACAGTTTGGGGATGGCCCCTTCCTGTTCCAACATGACTGCGCACCAGTGCACAAAGCAAGGTCCATAAAGACATGGATGAGTTTGGTGTGGAAGAACTTGACTGGCCTGCACAGAGTCCTGACCTCAACCCGACAGAACACCTTTGGGATGAATTAGAGCAGAGACTGCGAGCCAGGCCTTCTCGTCCAACATCAGTGTTATATATATATATATATATATATATATATATATATATATATATATATATATATATATTCCTGGTTTTTCAGTATCAATAAACAATACAGGATGATTTGAGCATGTTTTCTGAGATGTCATTGGTGAGGTAGTCCTGAGACCCATTCTTAAAGTTGTTTTTCTCAAAACCTGCTTTTTGTACAAATATCTCTGCATTCAAACCTATTCTGAATGATATTATTAAAAATGTACTAAAGCCATACTTATTATTTTTGCTATGTTTTTTTCTACAAAATCAGTGCATTGTGTTTTCTTGACTAACCAGTAAAGCAATGTTATTCTCATAATCTGTTCTGTAAAATATCCTCTCCTGAGTGTGAATTCACAATGAAATACACATTTTAATTTTAATATCACCCAAAGACTAGATGTCTGTGCTGTAGACAAATGCAAATCTATTCATATTTATGCAGAAAATGTCCCATATGCATATCTACTCGTACTTTTTGCAAAACATCCAATACAAAATGTGCTTGTAACAATGTTAATAATCAACTGCCACATTTGAACCATGGTATTTACTGTTTTTAAAAAATGACCCTATTCACCTGTAGTGTCTCACTCTATAATCCTCTACGGTCTAGACTCCAGAGACAGACTTTGAAGCAGTGCTGTGCTGCCCTTTTGTGGTGATGTACAGTAATTCATTATCACTCTACTATAAAAGCTTGAAAACTAATTTCACCATCTCTGAAATATTGTAAGTGTATAAATATGATTTTTAGCATAAGCTTATTTTATTCCATGCATTTGCAGTGCAGTTTAAAGCTCCTGTTTGTGTGAGGCTGGATGCAAGAGTTTTTATTTACATCAGATTTGACAGACTCCAAGACCAAGACCTGAGAGGAGTGCAAAACTGACCATGGTGAAATAGAACAAAAGGAAAACAAACAGGACTAAAACAAAACTAAACACAAGAGAAAAACAAAGAAAAAGCCTACAATTGGATGAAAGAAAACAGCAAACAAAGAGGTCACACAAGCAATGCAAGACAAAGAGGCTGAGCAAACACAGGGGTATAAATACACTGAGAGGAAACAAGAAACACCTGGGGCTAATAAGAGGTCATGGCTACAGACTACACACAGGTGAGACAGATGACAAGGAGGCAGGACAGAGGCGGAAACAGAGACCAAAACAACAACAAAAGCACATGGCAAGACACTTGAAAGGTGAGAGAACGGTAAACAAAGACAGACACAAAGAAGGACAAGGACACTAAAACTGTTGGTGGAGGTAAAAGAGTTCAAATTCTACTGCATCCCTGCTTCCACTGAAAGGTCTGTCTTTAGAATTCACCACTTACTTTAGTCATGGAAACAGTTCTTGGCAATTAATTTTTACTTTACAATTTTTCAGTAGTAAACACACAAAAACTGATACTCTAAACCCAATTTATCAAATCTTTTTATCAATTGCCAAAAGGAAAACTCTTTTGCCAAAAGGTTTAGGCAATAATCTCCTAATACACTCAAATTGCAAATCTCAAACTTTTTTGCATAACAGAAAACACACGTATCATCACAAAGCACTGTTTTCCACCTACTATCATGCAGAAATCTCAATATTCAATACACAAAACTGCAGTTATTGCAATTAAACATAGATAACACAATGGTCTCATGGTTTACAAACAAAAAGCTTGATTGACACATTTCTAAAGGTGAAAAGAAACACTGAGAAAACAGTTTGAATTCATAAAAAGGACTCTTTCATATTTAAGAGTAAATATAAACCAAAAATAACACAAGGACCAGAGGAAGAGAGGAGGTTAGAAGAGGTGGGCATGGAATGTAGCAAGACAACAAGCAAGAGAACGTATTACTTATTACTTATCCTCCCCTGAGATTACAGTTGTTTTATGATTGCTTGCACAATAAATTTCATAATCTCATTCTTAGCCTCACACTTTTAGCAAAACTCGACACGCTGTGTTTTGCAGACCACTTAACACACTTATCTACATTAGATGCAAAAATCTAACATGAAATACCACACCTGTGAACCAACTGATGAAAGATGGTCATCAGCTGTTCAGAAACTTATGTGCTTAATTGTAAATTCAGCAATGCAGCAAAAGCGCTATAAAAAAGGCAACAGGTTAGGGTTTGTTTATTGTTCTCTTTTTTCATGCTGTCATACTTTTAGAATACTTTTCCACTAAATTACATAAACATAGAATATCTTCAAAAGAAACACTGGCAAATGCTTGTTTTTAAATCAGTGCAAACATGCTCAGTAGATGAACCCTAAAGAGGACCTCAATTATTGTTGAAAGGTGATATTTGCTGAAATTGAGACTGAAGCCATTAAACAGCTGATGCTCTTTGACCTGGATGAATGTAGAGACACCAAATGACCAGCCCCTGGGTAAGAAGAGAATCAGCTCAGCACTGAATACCAAACATCACCATGAACATCATCACCTACCAACACCACATCATCTTCCACATCACCTACCTGTATATACTCTCTCCACTCAAATACTGTAAAAGATCAACATTAACTGGGAAATCACTTCTTATTACAGGAGAACCAGTGAAAAGTCGTTGATTCTGAGGCTGAGACCATTAAAGACCCGATAAAGATTTTCAAAGAAGATGCTGAAACGAACACAGCAGCCCTAAGTGAGGAAAGAAATTGATAACTGATATCATGAAAATGACACAGCTGCAAAAACGAACTGTATTGATTCATGCTGAACCAGAGATGAAGATAATGATGGTGGCTGATGAAGACGAGGCTGAAGCCATCAAAGCACTTATGAACTTCAGCCTAGATGAGAATGAGGAAGAAATTCTGAAGAAACATGTGGGTAAGAAAAGAAAATGAGATATCAGGATAATAATAACTAATTTAGTTAATGTAAAGTAGGAATTCATCTTAATATGAGCTCTAATCTGTCTTAATTAATTCAAGATAATCTATTGAGCAATATTGATGACAAGACTGGAAGTTGTTTCAGTGAGTGTCCAGCCTCTGGGTGAGTAAAGTAAATAAAAATACAACAAAAATGAAAGAGTTGTAAAAATGACTGCATGCATTTGCATCAAAACAGAGAATGAGATGATTATTGTCATAACCCTGTTAAAACACAGTTCTAACACAGAGGAGGATTAATTTACGTTTACCTAGAAATCTAATTGTGCTGTGGAGCCGCAGCAGGGCAGTAAAAGAGTCGCATGTTGCTGACCTCTGTGCTAGGAGAAATTAGGGAGGCTAAAATATTCAATGATGCTGCCATGAGTCCTGAAAGTAATGGTAAGCCCTGGTGAGTCTGCCCTGAGACAGTATTCTACAGCAAACCTACTTGGTCCATTCTCAGTCCTTCGAAAGGAACCTTGAGGTTGGAAAGAGGTGAGCAGGGCTGGTGGTGTTTTTTTAGTAGATAAAACTGGTACAAAACACTCTGTTCAGCACTCTCTGAAATGAGTCCTGAGTAAGAATGTCTATAGGCACTGAGTGTATAACTCTAATGTATTCCTTGAGAGCTCTGCCCAATCACAATCTTTCACAAGTAGCCACTCCCAGCTCATTTGATTCCAAACAAACGAAACTGATCTCAGAGAGCTGCTCTCTCTCAGTCTGGGAGAGCAGGAAAATGGACGAGGCCAGTATTTCAGTAGATCAGGACCAGTTCAGCTGTGCAGTCTGTCTGGATCTGCTGAAGGATCCAGTAACAACTCCCTGTGGACACAGTTATTGTATGGTGTGTATTAATGGACATTGGGATCAAGATGATCAGAGGGGGGTCTACAGCTGCCCCCAGTGCAGAGAGGCTTTCATTCCAAGGCCTGTTCTACGCAGAAACAACATGCTGGCTGAAGTGGTGGAGAAACTGAAGAGGCCATTACAATCTGTTTTTTACGCTGGACCCGGAGATGTGGAGTGTGATTCCTGCACTGGGAGAAAACTCAAAGCCATCAAGTCCTGTTTGGTGTGTCTGGCTTCTTATTGTGAGACTCATCTTAATCCTCACTATCAGTCTCCTGCCTTTAAGAAGCACAAGCTGGTCGAAGCCTCCAAACAGCTACAAGAGAAGATCTGCTCTCAACATCATAAACTGATTGAGATCTACTGTCGCACTGACCACAGCGGCATATGTTATTTATGTATGATGTATGAACATAAAGGTCATGATACAGTTGCAGCTACAGCAGAACGATCTGAGATGCAGGTGAGAACAAGAACATTTTTGGAATGACTTAATAGTTAACATTTTTACTTATGTTTTATTATTCAGTTATACGGGTTAAACTGTAATTATATTTCTTAAGTTATGGGAATGAGAGAAATGACACAAGTGACACTGTTTTTGGTAAAGAAGTATAACTTGATAACTTATCTGTCTCATTGTTTGTACTAAACGGGTCAAACCAGTCAATCAACATTTCTTTAGCCAGTTCTTATCTCCAAGCATACATTTCACGTAAATCCTCAGGTGCTTGTGGAGATTTCATCACAGTTACCTCCTACCTGACAGAGATAGCACTGATAACTTCATTGTCATGTTACACTATTGTGACATGTGCCCGCCCGAACATTGAGCGGCAACGAACCCTGGCGAGGACGGCGGAGGGAGAGCCGCAAGTGGGTGGGGGATGGAACACAAAGCCCGAGCTCTGAGGGACACGAGTGACGGTGGGAGGAGGAGGGTGATGATGGTGCCGGCAACAAGAGGCACGAGGGCAAGGTGCGAGTCCCGAGCTGCCAGCTGAGGGGCGGTGACGAGGAGGCAGAGCGGCAAGCTCTCGTTCCCTTTCAGCTCAGGTGCTCGGGAGCACCTTTCAAAAAGAGCTGAGAGGGAGCAGAGAGAGGGAATTGGACGAGCAGCAGCAAAAGAGACTGAGGAGCTGAAAAGATAAAGGACTGAAAAGTCGAGCCAGCTTAAGCCACTAAAAAGTGGCCAGCATAGTTTCGGTTATTTGGGTTTTGTTTATTTGCTTTGTAAATAAATATGGCTGCTGCAAACCTGAACCCTGCCTCCAACGTTCTCCTTGAGCCTGGGGTAGCACGTGCCGTGCTATAACAATGTAGTTACTTCGAACAACAATCAAATATAATGTTGGCAGGCAGGGAATTAAGCACAAATAACCAGCTAAACGAAGTGTAGTTATCATAAAAACAGCAATTTATGCCAGGCTCTGTGGAACTCTAAAATACTCTCATAACTCACCAATTCATTGCAATTCGAGAGTGTAATGCAGTGGTCACCAACCCTCCTTCTTGAGAGCCACCTTTCAGCTGGTTTCACCTCCAAACCACCTTATCTTTATTTGTAGAGCACTTTTCATACTGGTGGCAGCTCGAATTGCTTTACAGAAAGGTGATAAAGCTTACCAGTAACAGAAAACACTATGACTATTAATTTAAAGTCATATAAGACAATGACACATCAAATTAAAAAGATAAAAACCAAGAGAGTTTTTTAAATTTTAAATTTTAATCACTAAGTTAAAGAGATACGCTTTTAAATGTTTCTTAAAAGTGTGCATGAAGTTTGAATATCTATTAAAAGGTGGAATTGAGATCCACAGTTTGGAAGGATAATAACTGAAAAAGTCTCTCCATGTTTTCTGTATTTTATGAAAGGCGTTTGCAGAAGGCCACTATCTGCAAATCTAAAATCATGTGTTGGCACATGAACAGAGACATTCTGAAATGTAAGCAGGTGCCTTAAATACTAGTAGCAGAACTATAATAACTTTCCTGAAAGACACATGTAGCCAGTGCAGGTTCAAAACGGGAGTGATATGATCTCTCTTTTTTGCTTTTGTTAAGATCCATGCTGCCACATTATGTACGAGTTGTAGAGGATGTATTGTTTTCATAGGAAGTCCAGTAAGAAGAACATTACACTGTTCAACTCTGCTTATAACAAATGCATGAACAAGATTCTCTGTGCTGCTCTGAGGTAGAAAAGGCAGAAAAGACCAAAAAGGTCAACCTTTAGCAATATTTCTCACATGATGAAAAGGTACTTTAGTGACTGTGTTTACATGTGGGATAAAACAGAGATCAGGTGTTGTAGCTTAGTTCACTTGAGGTTGGGGTAAAAATCTCTGGGCACAACAATTCACTTTTTTTTTTTCTCAGAATCAGCTAAAAGAGACACAGAGGAAATCTCAGCAGAGACTCCAGGAGAAAGAGAAGAAGCTGCAGGAGGTGAAACAGGCTGTGAAGACTCTTAAGGTGAGTAGTGAGCAGAGATCTGCTGGAGCAGCTGTTTCACAGCTCAGTCAGACTCTCCTCCAGTCAGACAGTGAGGAGTCCAGTGTTGGACACTTAGAGATCCTACACAGCCACAATGTGGACAGTGAGTCATCTAGAGTCCCAGTGAGAGAGTGAATGATAGCTGGTGTGTAAATGGAGCTCCATCTTGTGTGTGTGTTGTAACAGAGCTCTGCACAGGCAGCAGTGGAGGACAGTGAGAGGATCTTTACTGAGCTGATCCGCTCCATTGAGAAAAAGCGCTCTGAGGTAACAGAGCTGATCAGAGCTCAGGAGGAGGCTGAACTGAGTGGAGCTGAAGAACTCCTGGAGCAACTGGAGCAGGAGATTGCTGATCTAAAGAGGAGAGACACTGAGCTGGAGCAGCTTTCACACACAGAGGATCACATCCATTTCCTCCAGGTAACAATCACTGTCTGATTTACTCTTAATTTTTTAAAAATTCTTTATTAGAATTTTTGTGTTAATTTCTTTAGGAATTTTTATTTCCATGTGTTTCACTTTATAATACTGTTCTTGATCATCATTAATTCCTAATGAAGAACACAGTAACATCTTGTTCATTAGTAATGAGTTACAGAGTGTTTCACTATATAATGTTGTTCCTGAAGATCTTCAACCTGTGAGGAACGACAGCAGCACCTCCTTCATTATCTAACAGATATTAATTTTCTCATAGCAATATTTAGAATCAAGATTTGAAGGTAGGACACATACACAGCCATATATTTCTGTGAGTAAGAGGACTTTAAAGAATAACTGCTGTTCAGAGGAAACAAACACTGGCACACATGCTTCTGTAGAAAGAAATGGAATTTTCTAGTCTAAAGATGAGAGATGAGCAGACTGATCTACTGAATACTGTAGAAATTGTCCAATTTGTAAGCTGATGTGCAAATTGGTTCACACTGCTCAATATGAAGATGTGTGTCAGGTTTTAAGGCTTCTGATCAAAACAAGCACACGAGGGACAACAGTGTGGTGTGATGCCCCATCTTCTCTGAGGATACCTGTTTCTGTGAATAATAATGGATGACATAATCCTTTATATTTTAGAGACTGCACAATGTGTAGTGTATTTCACTACTGTTAGAAGTGTTTTCCATCAGTTTGTACTTCAACATTAACCTTGTAAAACTCAGCTATTAAACAATTCATGTTTGCTTTGTGAATCTAACATTTAATCAATTAATGAATTGATCAGTAGTTATTATTTAGTTAATATTGAACTACCCTAATAATTTGTTCACTATTACCTGCTGAGTATTTAAATAGGGCTCCTTGGTAGTTAATAATACTTACTTAAGTGTTAATGCAGCACTACTCTTTTGTCCGTGCTTAGTTCCTGATTAGTTACTTATTAACTATGAAACAGTAAAGTGTTACTGTATTTGGTAACCAGAGATCAATGGACATTTTTGTATTTATTGTTTGTTATTCTCTTTGTGTCAGTAAATAAACCACTGTTAACTTCTAGGCACTTTTTAATGTTGTTTGTTATGTTTTCTGAGGGTAAAACCTGAACTTTAAAATCCATGTAGTTTACTGCTTTCATACAATATGTTTCTATTTTTTGCTTTAATCCTTTGTTTTTGGTCATTCATCCATATTTGCTGATCTTATTGGGTGCTCAGCACCCCTAAAGCTCTGATCTTAGAATCACCCCTGCTTATGGACACTTTGTATTGTACCTGGTATTATGTCTGTATATGATGACATATGAGATGAAGTATGTGAAAAGTATGTAACAGAAAATAACTGGTAAATCCCACATTTTTGCCTGCTAAATTATAGTTACACACAGTACTGTAAAATGTGTTACCCAAAAGTGTAACCAAAAACAATGTACAAAGCAACAATTTCTGCTTCAAAAAGAACACAGTTCTCTGATTTATAACTAAAGAGACTTGACATTTGACTTAGACAGCTAAGCTTAGACTCTCAAGAGAAACAAAAAAGATGTGGACTTAACAAAATAATTAAGGTAATAGTGAAATAAAATGAAACTGGAGGTGCTATTGCCATGCTATAAACTCTCAAAATGCTAGCTTGCTCATTCACTGATAGTTTGGTTTTTCTGGGGTGAGAAGATGGCAAAAGAAAGCAGATTGAAAATCTTAATTCTGATTGGCAAGAAAAAAAAATGTAGACATCATCTTCTTCTAACATAGTCCCTCTAAACTTGAAACAGAAAAAGCACAAAACTACACAAACTGTTCTTAATTTGGACTCAATTCATGCAGGACTGAATATATAACAGCAAAAAATATGAACTGAGGAAAAAGTTGACAGTCCTTAAAAACTTTCCTCTTGTACATTGTGTCTCTCTCTCCATTGTGTCTCTCTCTCTGTAGAGTCTCCAGTCTCTCTGTGTCTCTTCTGGATCTGAGGACTCACCCAGCATCACTGTCTACCAACATCTCTCATTTGATGGAGTGAGGAAATCTCTCTCTGATCTGAAAGAGAGAGTAGAGGAATTCTGCAAGCAGGAATTCAGTAGAATCTCTCTGTATAGTGAAAGAAGCTCTGCTGATGAAGAATATGAGGGTGAATCTTTACCTGCACAGAGTCTTTGCAGGCGTAGAGACAGTATGGGTGAGTCATAAGAGTTTTTGATCTTTTTGCTACTTTTTGCCACCACAGAAACCTAACCCCTTTTTTAAAAGAGATTGATCAATGGAGCAGTCACTGCTGTAAAGTTGTGATAAAGTCCACACACCCCCAGTATATGCATTAGCTCATGTTTAGTTTGCGGAACCGGGAGATCCAAAATGTCTAATACCTTTAGGTGTCCTAGGTCTCACTGCCAACTGGTCTAGGTAGGTGACCTGAGCTCTACCAATTTCACACTTTGGTAAATTTACCACCAAACCTGCATTTTCTAACAACTCAAACAACTGCTGTATATGCCCCATGTGCTCAGACCATGATGCACTATAAACTACAACATCTTCAAGATAAGTAATTACGTTTTCCATATTCATTAATCATTGGAACATGGCAGGAGCATTCCTCATCCCAAACAGAAGGACAGAACAACAATATAAGGCATTGGGAGTATAAAAAAACAGACACATCTTTAGCTCTGTCTGTTAAAGGGACTTGCGAGTAACGTTTGAGTAGATCAAACTTTGACTATTTTAGCCTGGCTTTTGTTGTTGGTTCAAACCACACTTAAGACCTTACTTTGGGGGGCAGTCATGGGTTGGAGGTTAGGAAACCAGCCTTGTGACCAGAAGGTCTCTGGTTTGATCCCCTCAGCTGACAGTACGTGACTGAAGTGCCCTTGAGCAAGGCACCTAACCCCCAACTGCTCCCCGGGCGCCGTGGATAGGGCTGCCAACCGCTCCGGGCAAGTGTGCTCACTGTCCCCTACTGTGTGTGTGTTCGCTAGTGTGTATGTAGTGTTTCACTGCACGGATGGGTTAAATCGCAAAAGTAAAGTAAGGTATGGTGTTCCACAAGGCTCTGTTTTAGGTCCTGTATTATTCACATTATATATGCTACCACTGGGCACCATTATCAGTAAACACGGCATAAATTTCCACTGCTATGCCGATGACACTCAGTTATACTTAGCAAGCAAAAAAAAAAAAAAAAAAACAAACAGGATTGGTGAAAATAGACACTGACAAGTGGATCTCAAAATAGAACAGCAAATAATGGCATAATTAATTTAAAATATATTTTATTTATATGACATCTGTAGTTCACTTATGATGAATCTAGGTATTTCACTAAAATGTTTTGTTTTTTTTGTGGGGATATGAACTGTTCTTATTACATAATAGGAATGGAAATATGACACATAGCCTTTGGGTTCAGTCATACCAGCTCACTGAGGGTCTGGCAACTTATGTCATGGATTTCCATGAAAAACTTAAAGCATAAACGTTTTGCTGTTTTTTTGCCAAATAATTTTGTAATTATTTATATTGATTTATTTTTCTCCATTTCAGCTTCTAAATCACCTCTTAAATACTGAGGTTAACTGGATGTTGAATTCTAATATCTAACTAGCTGACATTTAAACTGGGTATAAAAAGAACACCTGGAATAATATTTCACTTTGTCAGTTAAATGATTAGTCATAACTAGTTAATGTGGGTTAATTTATTAAAGCACCTAATTTTATGTCAACCCGGCATATATGAAACTGAATCTGTCAGTCAGTTATTATGATTATTATTATTATTATTATTATTATTATTATTTATTTTATTTTTTTTCTGATTTCATTACACTGAAAACATTTTGAATGCCAAAAAAGCATTTATTTATTACTTTAAATTGTTCTCTGAAGTTTGTGACTTGTGATCATGCGAAAATGGCCAGATGTAGATTTACACACCCATTTACAGCCCTATAAATAAAGCACTTTGCCTAACTCACTCTGGTGTGTGTGTGTTTGTGTGTATGTTGTGTGTGTGTGTGTGCTGTCTCTGCGCTGTCATTGTGTTTCCCAGTCAGTGTGCGTCAGCCCTTCCCCAGACTGGTGTTTATAAGACAGACAGAAAGAATAGAAAGAGAATTTCTGGGTAACGTGGCTTTATTTTTCAAAGACTTTATATATCAATGATTTTATGTTTCAATGATTTTATATTTCAAAGATTTCTCCTAAAACACACAATAAACATTATCCCACATTTTTATGTCTTTCTCCACAGAGATACCACATCAGATGGCTTTACACTCAGAGCTAAAGAGCAGAGAAGATTTTCTGCAGTGTATGTGAAACTCACACACACACATACAACTACAAACAGACATACACACAACACACAAAAACACACACACTCACAAACACAAAGAGTACACTTTTTTACTTCTGTCTTATAGAAATGTGAATGTTTATTTTTCATTGTTGATTAGAAAAATAGGACAATCTAAATCTAATCTAATCTTAATACTTTCTGTGAATACAACCCTGAAAATGTCACTGAAAATTTCACTGGGAACAATAACAAAAAACTCTGGCTTCACCTGATTTAAATCTATATATCAGTTCCATTGGAAGGAAATTTATTACATGAACACAATTACTGACGTTACTTTTTCTTCCTTTTATCATGTTATGTTGATGTGTATATATATATATATATAACCATTTGAATGAAGTAAATTCAAATTAACATTTTATTCAGTGTTCAAAATTATTTTCTTTCTTTCCTTGGTTAGATTTCTGTTGGCTGACTCTGGATCACAACACAGTGAATTGTTATCTCAGACTGTCTGAGGAGAACAGAGTGGTGACATTCAGACAGAGACCACTGCTTTACTCTGATCATCCAGAGAGATTTGACTGCTGGTCTCAGGTGTTGAGTAAGGAGAGTGTGAGTGGACGCTGTTACTGGGAGGTTGAGTGGAGCAGTAGTGAGGGATGGCTGTACATTTCAGTCTCATATAAAGGGATCAGCAGGAAAGGAGGGGGTAATGAGAGCTGGTTTGGACACAACAGTCAGTCCTGGAGTCTGCAGTGTTCTCCCTCTCTCTTTTTCTATCACAACAACATTCAGACTGAGATCTCAGCCTCATCCTCCTCCAGAATAGGAGTGTATGTGGATCACAGTGCAGGAACTCTGTCCTTCTACAGCGTCTCTGACACAATGACCCTCCTACACACAGTCCACACCACATTCACTCAGCCTCTCTATGCTGGATTCTGGGTGAACTCAGGAACTGTGAGGTTGTGTGATGCAGAATGATGTGTTTGTTGCACACTGTGGTTACCTCATTGGAAGATAATAGTAATAATAATAATAATAATAATAAATTAAAAGGGGAAATGAAGAGTTCAGACCTCATTGCCACAGCCTTTCTAGAGTTGGTTTTATTATGTGATTTGACTGAACCTTAAAGAAACTTTCTGCACTGAAATCAAACACAGCTACAAACGCTCTCTTAAAAATACAGATTGTAAAAGTCCACTAATAAATGCATGTGATCACTTTATTTCAAAACTGGTGTTCTTCTTTCCAGGTTCTACTGTTGAACATTTTATTGAACCTTTTCTACAATGACAGAGAGCTAGCAGAATTCTCAGTTGGCTGATAATGTTATGGGGTCAGTTTTAACTGATTAAAAAGAAATTAGAAAAATGTGTCATTGTAACCGAAGAGGTGAAGAGGCTGCATGCAAATGCGACTTGCTTTTGTTTAAATCAGACTTAACAGAGTCCAGAAATTCAGTAGCAAAGGTTCATAAAACAGAAAAATCCATGATGAGATGAAACAAAAGAAAACAGAACTAAACCTGAAACAAAACCTAAGAGCAGAGAAAACAGCAACAGGGTATCTAGACAATGCAAGACCAAGGGACTGAGCAAACACTGGGTTATAAATATTCTGAGGGGTAAGAAGAAACACATGAGACTAACAGGAGGGCAGGGCTACAGACTACAGGCAGGTGGAGCAGATGACGATGGGGCAGGACCAGGGAGGAGACAGACCAAAACAACAACAAAGGCACATGGCACAAGAAAACAAAGGCACATGGCAGACATAAACGAAAGCACATGGCACTGGCGAAACCAAGAAACCAAAAGCAAAACAGAGAAAGACAGGGACAGAGAGTGACAGGATGTTCTAAGCTCCCAAGGGGTGGAATGGAACACACCAAAGGAGGTGGCTGAACAAGGGACTGACCTGGAAAAAAGACAAGAATCTAGACAGCGGAATGGACAGGAAACTGGATAAGGGAATGGACAGGAAAGTAGTCAAAAGACTGGACAAACGGCTGGACTTCAGACTAGACAATGGAATGGCCAGGAAACTGGTCAAAAGACTGGACAAACAGCTGGACAGGAGACTGGACAGTGGACTGAACGTAGGACGGGATAGGAGATGGGACGAAGGATTGGACAAGAGATGAGAAAAATGGCCAGACAGGAGACTGAATTAAGGACTGGCTAGGTGACAGAACATGAGACAGGAAAGGAGATGAAACAGAGGATCAAACTGGAGACTAAACAGGAAACTGAAGAGAAGTCTGAACAAATGACGAGACTGGATAAACATGAGATGAGACATGAGACGGGGCAGGAGACAAGACAGGAGGCAGCACACAAGACGGGACTAGGGGCTGGACAGGAGATGGGACGAAAGGCTGGACAGGGGATGGAACACAAGACAGATAGGAGACAAGACCGGAGTCGAGACTGGAGACATGCACTCAACAGTTCATTTCCAATAGCTACTGGTGGGAGATTCTAAAATCAGATATTCACAAGTTCGTTTCTTCTTTCTTCAATGCAAAACACCCAAGACACTACCTGCAGGGAACTCATGCCCCTTCCTGTTCCCAATCACCCCTGGTCTCATATAGCTATAGACTTTGTCACCAATCTTCCACTGTCTGAGGGTTACACTACCGTTTTAACTATAGTTGACAGGTTTTCATGAAGTGTTTTGTACCTTTCCCTTCAATCTCGATGCATTTCAAACTGCCCAAGCTATCAGCACGTTTTCAGGAATTTTGGCATTCCAGAGGACATTATCTCTGACAGGGTCCTCAATTTACTTCCCCTTTCACTATTTTTGCCTGCCTTTTTGGGCTTTTTTGTGCATATACATAAAGCATCACTAGAGGTTTATGGATAGGGGGGCCAAATCTGTACTAGGGGGGTCTGGGTGCATGGTCCCCAAAAATATATTTTTTTAATGGCCCCAAAATGTTTATAATGCGGTTTTAGAGTAGCAACAGCCAGAAAATGTCAAGAACATCAGCTGTGATAAGTATATCAAAAATGGTTATTTGGTCAAATTGGCACACAGTAGATCTGACATTTGTAGTTTGTATTAAACTCAGAGCAGGTACAACAAACCACTTACATCCACTTCACTTATCATCCACTTACAACAGGCACAGACCAAGCAATGACACTGAATCAAGCAGTACTACCTCCTCTCTCTTAGTTCAGCAGCAGAGTCCTAAATATATTATTCAAACACACAGATTATAGATCAGTTCATTCTAAGTCGGTGCAATCAGAAAGAGTGTGATTTTGCTTTGTAAGCATGTTTAATAAGCTAGAGGACAGAATTTCATGATCATGGTGATAAATATTATATTTTCTCCATTAAGTTAGCTTAAATTCAGAATTGTTTAACCGAAAGCTTGTACAACTCTCCCTCACTTTTTTCTTGATTACTAACCTCCATCAGATCTGCTCCTTTAGTCCTGTCAGTCTTCTTCAGCTTCTTCCTCTCCCTCTTTTCCTGGATCCTGATAATAAGTTTGGTGGTCTTAAGTCCAAATAATGCAGCATACATGATTTCCAAAAATAATTTAAAATTTAGATTTGTTGGACCACAGGACACTTTTCCACTTTGCCTCAGTCCATCTTAAATGAGCTCAGGCCCAGAGAAGGTGGCAGCATTTCTGGATTCTATTTATATATGGTTTCTTCTTTGCATTTTAGAGTTTTAACTAGCATTTGTGGATGCAGCGACGGACAGTTTTCACAGACAGTGGTTTTCAGAAGTGTTTCTGAGCCCATGCAGTGATTTCCACTACAGAATCATGTCTGTTTTTAATGCAGTGCCGCCTGAGGGCCCAAAGATCGTGGACAGCCAATACTGTTTTTGGCCTTGTCCCTTGCATACAGAGATTTCTCCAGAGTCTCTGAATCTTTTAATGATATTATGTACTGTAGATGATGAAAAACAAAAGCTCATTGCTGTTTTATGTTGAGAAAAATTGTTCTTGAATTGTTGCACTGTTTGCCTTTTATTACCCCCGTCCCAACTTTTTTGGAACGCATTATTGGCATCATGGCATCAAATGGGCATAATTTTTTCAAAAAAGTTTTCTCAGTTTCAACATTTGATTTGTTGTTTCAATTACAAATAGGGTTTACATGATTTGCACATCATTGCATTTTGTTTTTATTTATATTTTGCACAGTGTCCCAACTTTTTTTGGAAATGGGGTTGTAAATAAATCTATCATTAAATGCAGTTTGTTTTACTGAATTAAAATGGTTGCTTTCCGTAAAATATTTCATTTACAAATGTATGCATTTACTTTTCCATTTGAAGAGTTAGTCACTTATGTGAAGAACTTCAGTAATTGGTGTCATCATGAAACATTAAAGCGTATATGTGGTAGAAATCTTTCAGTTTATTGGAGATACTACACTATTGTATGGAAAATGTTATAATTCAGCTTAACTCACCATCTCTGATCAGGTTTCTACCAGCACATTTAGCTCTGCATTTCTCAGATGGTCATCCTCTTTGTGATCTTGTGGGAAGCTGCTCTCTCTTTATGCCTAGTGAGTCAGATTGATGGTCTCATCTTCAGGACTGGTGGTGGTGCTGTCATTCCCCTCCTCAGAACAGGAAGATTCTACATAAGGACAACAAGGAGATAAATGCACGAACCACTGGATTCCTTTAAAAAAAGAAAGGGCACTTTATCCTCCTGCAATCTAGACTCCAAAGACAGACAGTGCTTTGCTGCCCTTTTGTGGTGATATACAGTAATGCATTAGAATCCGAATCCCTTTATAAGACATATAAGACAAATGCCTTGTATGTGTAACACACTTGGCGAAATAAAGTGATTCTGATTCTAATGCATTGTCAAACTGCTATAAAACCATGGACACTCATCCCTACATCTCTGGAACCTATATAGAAAGTGTATGAACATGTTTTCAGAATGAACTTTTTCAATCCATGCAGTTCTACCGCAGCCCTACTACAGCCCTTACAGCCCACTGAAGCATCAAACTTCATTCACCAGTTGCGTTGTTAATCATAGAAACAAATGCTGTTGATAAAACTCTTACTTTAAGCATCCAAACATAATAGACTAAACTGACTTAATTACACCTACAGTAATATCGCAAACGTTTTCTGTAGTTTTCTATTCCAGCTATTATTTGGTTCACTGAATGGATTGTGTGTTCTTTGAGGAAGGATTGAGACTGAAAAGTAACCAGAGATCATCTCCTTTGTATCTGAATTTTTTGTGATACCAATAAACTTTTTGTCATTTGAAAGAAAACTTATAGAAAACAAGTTCAAATTCATGTTAAAGGTGCAAAACGAATGAGTTTAATATTATACAGAAGAGGTTGGATTCACTTCCTTTAGCCAAGCAAAAGTCATTCAGCGTAATTTATGTACCACCTGAGTGTTTTCAACCTCTTTACATTTGAACTGGAACAACGTTGTCTTTAATAATAATAAAAGTAACGAATGTAACTTCATAAGTGAACTTTTTGAGCCACTGTTTAGACTAGTTTTGGTAGAAGAAACAGTACTAATTTATTCTGACTTATCTGACATATCTGTAGACTTTGAGCTTTAAGCTCTGAAATACTCCTTTTGAGTTCTGCCCAATCAAAACCCTCCACATGTAGCCACTCCCACTCTGCTGCTCCTTCATTTCAGAGGAAACGAAACTGATCTCAGAGAGCTGCGCTCTCACAGCCTGTGAGTGCAGGAAAATGGCAGAGGCCAGTATTTCAGTAGATCAGGACCAGTTCAGCTGTCCAGTCTGTCTGGATCTGCTGAAGGATCCAGTGGCTATTCCCTGTGGACACAGTTTCTGTATGGTGTGTATTAATGACTGCTGGGATCAGGGTGATCAGAGGGGGGTCTACAGCTGCCCCCAGTGTAGACAGACTTTCACTCCAAGGCCTGTTCTATGCAGAAACAACATGCTGGCTGAAGTGGTGGAGAAACTGAAGAAGACAGAACGCCAAGCTGCTTCTCCTGCTCACTGTTACGCTGGACCTGGAGATGTGGAGTGTGATTTCTGTACTGGGAGAAAACGCAAAGCCATCAAGTCCTGTTTGGTGTGTCTGGCTTCTTATTGTGAAACTCATCTTAAACCTCACTATCAGTCTCCTGCCTTTAAGAAGCACAAGCTGGTCGAAGCCTCCAAACAGCTACAAGAGAAGATCTGCTCTCAACACGATAAACTGATCGAGATCTACTGTCGTACTGACCACAGCTGCATCTGTTATGTGTGTATGATGTATGAACACAAAGGCCACGATACAGTTGCAGCTGTAGCAGAGCGATCTGAGAAACAGGTAAGAAGTAGAAATATTTTCCAGTTAATTCATGCTGTTTGTATTTATGAACTACAGTCTGTTACATTTTCTTAATTGTACAGATGACCATAGTATAGAGTAATAATAAGATATTGAAACTGTTGTGTAGAAAAGTGTTAAACAAACTGTTAGCCAATCTTTAACCAGCCAACATTCATCTTGCAGCACATTTACAGCTTATAGTGTGCACATGTCAGAGCTTTTATACAACAAGAATGAACTCGCTATTAATAAGCTGCAAAGAATTGCTGTAAATTTACAGTGGAAGCTCAGCATTGCCTAGTGTATTCCTTAAATACAGCAGATTGCAGTAAAGCATGATGCATTTTGGGAGATACTAGTAATATAGTAATAAGTTAGATTTTACAGTAATTAGCTGGAATTTGCAGAGCATATTGGGAAAGTGACTGGTACTCTGTGCTTTTGGTCATTCAATTTTCATTTCAAATCCAGCATTGAAAAACAGGGGAAAGGGTCAGTTCTCGTTTTTGGTTATGTTATTGTCAGTGGAAAAACCTAGAAATAACTTTGTTTTACAGTTTCACAAACTAATCATGAAGTCAAGTCAAGTCAGGCTTTATTGTCATTTCAGCTATATACAAGTACACAGTGTGAGACAATACAATATACACAGTGCAGACAATACAGTACCATATATAAATATGAAAAACTTACAATAAATACAAAACAGAACACAGGCAGTACACAGTACTGAGAGTATGTGGAGTTGTGCAAAGGAGGATGTAACATACTATGACATATTAGCAGATTAGCAGATAGCCTAGCGTATATGAGCATAGCAGTTACTGAGGTAGCAACCAGAACAACAATATATAGAATACAGTATATAGTATACAGTGGGTTGATACAGTGATTCTTGCAGCTGACATTGTTAAAGTGAAGTAAAATGTGCAGATAACAAACAAACATATAAAGGGTCGTATCTTATTTTTCCAAATAAACAAAATCTGCTCAAGGCACAGCTTTTCATAACGCACCTCTAAAGCTCCTTCCAAAAACCAGAGTATTATAGAAACAATAAGATCACAGGACAGCACACAGCTCACAGTTTGGAGCGGTAACACAGCTGCTATAAGTTTACATCTGACGAGGTGACATTACAGTATTCATTTTTCTCATCAATTTTGGGCAGTGGGACTTTCATTCCTCTTTGATTTGACTTTAAATGGTAGGAGTCCTGTAGAGTCACTTTCCCATATTGCTTCAGTTTTCTGCTGAGAGAATAGCAACATCAGATATACAAACACCTATAAAAACATCATATAGTCTCCCAAAATGCCAGGACTGGGCCTATCTTGTCAGCATTCAGGCCCGATCTTTCCTGTCTTCTTAATTTTTTACCACCTGATTTCTGAGCTTATGCGACCATAAGTGCCCTCTGCACGTTTATTTCCTGTTCAAATGAAAGAAAAATTTCAATTTGGATAAATAAAATATGACCTTTTATTCTTCTTGTATAATTTTATGATTAGTTTGTAAAACTGTAAAATGAAGCTATTTCTTGATTTTTTACAGAACCAAAAATGAGAACTGGCCCATTTTCCCATTTTTCAATACTGAGTTTGAAATGAAAATTGAAAGTCCAAAAGATACACGGACCAAAGCTTTACAGCATTCCTTGTGATTGTTTATTTAATTATTTATTTTTGTGAATTAGCTTTCATTTGTTCATCTACAGTTCATTTTTGTAAGTACTTGTTTTAACATGTTACTTCTTCCCCAAAAATGTTTAAATGCATTTTGCTTTAATTGATGTTCCAAGCATGAAGGTCCCACGACTACCCGAATATTCATAGTTGTGTTGTTGCCACCACAGCCCCAGGTGGCACTGCTCTGCTGGTGATGTTGTGCTGCTCCCAGACTGGACATAATTAAGCAGCAACATGACAAACTTCTTCTGTATGATGAATAACGTGCAACCTCAATTCCAAAAAACTTGGGACGCTGTGTAAAATGTAAATAAATGTATATAAAAACAGAATGCAATAATTTGCAAATCTCATAGACCCATATTTTATTCACAGTAGAACATAGAACACATATCAGTTGTTGAAAGTGAGACATTTTACCATTTCATGAAAAACAATAACTCATTTAGAACTTGATGGCAGCAACGCATCTCAAAAAAAGTTGGGACAGGAGCAACAAAAGGCTGGAAAAGTAAATGGTACTAATTAAAAACAGCCAGAGGAGCAATTACCAGCTAACTCACAGGACTGGGTATAAAAAGAGCATTTTAGAGAGGCAGAGTCTCTCAGAAGCAAAGATGGGCAGAGGTTCACTAATCTGCGAAAAACTGCATCTAAAAATTGTGGAACAATTTCAGAAAAATGTTCCTCAATGTAAAGTGAGGTTGTGAAGACGTTGGATATTCCACCATCTACAGTACATAATATCAGCAAAAGAGTCAGGAATCTAAAGAAATCCCTGTACACAAAGGACAAGGCTGATGGTCAATATTGGATGATCATCATCTTCAGGCCCTCAGGTGGCACTGCATTAAAAACAGTCATGATTCTGTACTGGAAATCACTGCATGGGCTCAGGAAAACTTCCAGAAATCATCTGTGAACACAGCTCGCCATACAATCCACGAATGCAAGTTAAAGCTGTATCATATGACATGATCCAGAAACGCCACCGTCTTCTCTGGGCCAAAGCTCATTTAAAATGGACTGAGGCAAAATGAAAAACTGTTCTGTGGTCAGATGAATCAAAATTTGAAATTCTTTTTGGAAACCATGGACACTGTGTCCTGCTCAAGAGCAGAGGGACCATCCAGCTTGTTATCAGAGCACAGTTCAAAAGCATGCATGGACAGCTTACACATCTGGAAAGGCACTATCAATGCTGAACAGTATATAGAGCTTTTAGAACAACATAAGCTTCCATCCAGAAGCGTCTCTTTCAGGGAAGGCCTTGAATATTTCAGCAAGACAACACTAAACCACATACTGCATCCATCACAACAGCATGGCTTCGCAGAAGAAGAGTCCGGGTGCTGAACTGATCTGTCTGCAGTCCAGACCTTTCACCAATAGAAAACATTTGGTGCATCATGAAACGAAAAATCTAGCAAAATAGACCCAGGACTGTTAAGCAGCTAGAATCATACATCAGACAAGAATGGGGCAACATTCCTCTCCCAAAACTCAGCAATTGGTCTCCTCACTTCCCAGATATTCACAGACTGTTGTTAAAAGAAGAGGGGTTGCTACACAATGGTAAACACGGCCCTGTCCCAACTTTTTTGAGATGTGTTGCTGCCATCAAGCTCTAAATGAGTTAATATTTTTATGTGGTTTTCATGAAATGGTAAAATGTCCCAACTTTTTGGAATTGGGGTTGTATAATACAACTGCTGTAATGCAATGAAAGTTCAATGTGTGACATGTGAAAAATAGTGTGATTATTCTCTTAACTATGTAACAGTGTGCATGAACATTCAAGCATTTGCTTCTGGAAGTACATTTACAATAATAACAGTTCTTTCTCCTCAGAATCAGCTGAAGGAGAAGCAGAGGAAATTCCAGCAGAGACTCCAGGAGAAAGAGAAGAAGCTGCAGGAGGTGAAACAGGCTGTGAAGACTCTTAAGGTGAGTAGTGAGCAGAGATCTGCTGGAGCAGCTGTTTCACAGCTCAGTCAGACTTTCCTCCAGTCAGACAGTGAGGAGTCCAGTGTTGGACACTTAGAGATCCTACATAGCCACAGTGTGGACAGTGAGTCATCTAGAGTCCCAGTGAGAGAGTGAATGATAGCTGGTGTGTAAATGGAGCTCCATCTTGTGTGTGTGTTGTAACAGAGCTCTGCACAGGCAGCAGTGGAGGACAGTGAGAGGATCTTTACTGAGCTGATCCGCTCCATTGAGAAAAAGCGCTCTGAGGTAACAGAGCTGATCAGAGCTCAGGAGGAGGCTGAACTGAGTGGAGCTGAAGAACTCCTGGAGCAACTGGAGCAGGAGATTGCTGATCTAAAGAGGAGAGACACTGAGCTGGAGCAGCTTTCACACACAGAGGATCACATCCATTTCCTCCAGGTAACCATCACTGTCTGATCTACTCAGAAAGGTTCTGAAACTTTTCCTTAAAAAGTTTATTAACCTTCTGCTGCATGAATTATTACTTTAACAGGATAAAATGTTTTAATGTGTTTTTGTTATTTGAAATTGCTTAAATAATGGAAATTTTTGAACAAAAACACGTATTTCTAAAAATTTAGTGGGTTACTTGGTAAATTGTTGCCATTTGGCAACAATGCAAAATTGTACCATAGCATCATAAAATCTAGCACCATAAAATGAATTTTTTCTCTAAAAACATTCTTTTATCCTTTTATTGAAAACAAGACCAAACAAATCCAACTTATACTTAGTGAAATGTATGACCCAATATTTACAAATATTGGAAATGAATACAATTTCAATTAGTATTTGCAATGTATGGTAATAACAACATCATAATAAAAATTCCTGGTCATGTGATGACATGAAGTGTTTGTCCTTTCAAAGTAAAAGACCATTTTTCCACAATTAAATAAGAAAACAGATTTTATATTACTGCTTTTTAGTAAAATTAAGATAAAGTAATTGTTGCCATATGGCAACACCGTGCAGTAGAGGGTTAACACATTCTGATTAGCTATGTGCATGTCCATGTGTACTCAAGTGTGTGTGATAGTTGTTTTGTAGCTCGATGGCAAACAAACATTGATGTTTGTTTCCTGCTTTGCATGCTGTGGCACCAAGAACCTTTTAGACCGATTTATAATTGCTGGGTTGCAAAAATGTTTGTAAAGTTCATTTTTCAAGAGTTTGCTTTGAAGTATTCGGTAGCTAATTCATGAAACATCCTCACATATTTGCCAGGGCATACAAGAGTTGTTTATGTTTGGTCATTCTGCAGGTCAGTCCACGTCCTATCAAAGTAGAAGGTTCTTGGCAACAGTAAGCAATGAAACCCATGCAACACTCTTGAGTCCTATTCACAATGAACTACACATAGTGCACGACAAATAAATATGTTACCCAGAGCAATGTACAAAACTACACAAAGCAGCAGTTTATGATACAAAAAGAACACAGATCTCGGACTCATAATGAAAGACGTGAGACTTTACTTAGGCTCAGACAACTCAGAGACTCAGCAAAGACAAGATCTTTCTACTAATTCTGCTCATTTTTTTGTTTTATGTTGTCATATAAGGTAAAATAATCAACCTCTTGACAGCAGCAGCAGGGTTAACTCTAACTCCTAACTGTACATTCAGAGAGACACTGCCAGTGTTGGTGGCTCAAACACTGTTATGATTTCCTAAATTATCATGTAAGGGTGGCCAACCTAGATCACAAATCATTTTAAAAAAAGCCAACATCCATAACCTCTGCAAAAAAGATGTGGACATGAATTAATGAGGTGAATGTATAATAAAATAAAATGAAAAAAAATATAGCCTTTTAGCTTTTAGAACTTTCCTCTTGTACATTGTTCTCTCTCTCCATTGTGTTCCTCTCTCTGTAGAGTTTCCAGTCTCTCTGTGTCTCTTCTGGATCTGAGGACTCACCCAGCATCACTGTCCATCAACATCTCTCATTTGATGGAGTGAGGAAATCTCTCTCTGATCTGAAAGAGAGACTAGAGGAATTCTGCAAGCAGGAATTCAGTAAAATCTCTACACATGGTAAGAGGAGCTTCCTGCTGTGAAACAATGATGAACATCTTTACTTGTTCAGAGTGAAAATCAGACATAAGATTTCATCAATTACACACTAATGATCTAATATTCCTCTCTTGCTTTGACTGCGGAACTCTATTTATAGACTTATATTACTGAATATTTAACATTTCATAACATTTCATTTTGTTTCTAGCCATCGAACTAATAAAAAAGCACAATATAGACACACACATACTGCTAATTATTCAGTGACTTACATAAATTAGAGGAGAGCGGGGCAAAACCTAACACCTTTTGTTTTTTGCAAAATAATTAAAAAATATTTAGGCTGGAATAATCATGTTTTTATACAAGCAACATATACATCTCTGCTACAAATGAAAACTTGAACTTTGTTTCTAGCACCTACTGTTCTTGCACAATTTCAGAGAAAATGATGGGAAGCGCAATTCTTTAATTTACCCCATGGGTGACAGACAAAGGGTTAGGTGTGACACTTGCTAGAAAAGTGTGATCAATTAGTGCAAACAAAGTTAATTTAATATAATTTTATGTTGTGAGAAACAAATATATTTTCCAACCGTACTGCATTATTTATTATGTATCTATAATACAGACAGACAGCCAGCTCAACTGATAGGTACACATACACACACATTTTATTATATATGAAAGCTGACATGAGACAATGTGTCAAACAATGACATTTTTTGTCAATGTAGGGCAGCAAATAAAAACATCACACATCAGTAATATATGGAATATTGTTTCTGAATTAATACAACTTTACCAACTGTTATTGTCAATTTTATTAATATATTTACTTAAAACAAAAATACTGACATCTGAAAGATACTAATTAAATAGAAGAAAATCCCTGTTTTCAGATGTTTTCTCTATTTCATCTTAAAATCTGTGTAAACATATGAAACCAAAAGAAAAAAATTTACGCTGTCTTTGTTTACGAAAGGTGGTTTCATTGTAAACCTGTGTAATAACTAACCCCGCAGTGTGGAGGCTGTACTTAAGCCTAGCTAGCACTTGCTAAAAGCTTGTCTCAAGGTTGAAAATGGTGCTATGGTGTAGGCAACACGATGGTGATTAAAGTAACATAAGGTTGGATTTTGTGATTCACACAAACAGCTCAGTAACTGAAAAACACTTGAGTTGAAAAAAATTACTTACGTGCCCTGAAACACACTTTGGCACAGACTTCTTTAAAACGCTGACCAATCACTCTGAATTTTCGCGGGAGGCCATGGCTCGGAAATGTGGTAATGTGGCCAGAAGCTCACGCTGCTTGACCTTGTATAACAACATAAAAAGTCCATGTTAAATTGTGCCCCGTGTTAGGTTGTTCCCCATCCTCCCCTAATCAGGTAACACTATAAACCACTAAACCACTAAAATATTCAAGAGGGACTGTACCTTATTCAGTATTTATATCAAATTATTCAGTAACTAATATAAATGATTCAGTAACTACTATGATAGATAGATAGATAGATAGATAGATAGATAGATAGATTCTAAGCAGTAACACACAACCCGACTGTGACTATGTGACTACGCCCTGTGTGTCAGTGAAACAAATATGTAAGTGATGTATTTATAAGATTGAGAAATAGACAGAGCTGTTTTAGAGTTGAAGGAGTTAAATAAGATCATAGTTCAGCTTATTGTCCTGTTCATTTTTGGAGTCTGTTTATTGTAGATACATGTTTACTGTGCTGTTTGAGTGGAATGTCAAAGAAGATTTAAGATATTAGATATTTATTTACAGTCTCATACAGCAGAGACTGAGATGTAGAGACAGAAAAGGACACAGAAGAAAAGAGAGAGAGAGAATAAGAGATTTTTCTGGTAAAAGGGACTGCTGTTGATGGTTAATTGAAAGTTAATTTATTAATTTATTTTTGTATCACTCATATCACTCATATCACTATATTGCCAAAAGTATTCGCTTGTCTGCCTTCACGCGCATATGAACTTGAGTGACATCCCATTCTTAATCCATAGGGTTTAATATGATGTCGGCCCACCCTTTGCAGCTATAACAGCTTCAACTCTTCTGGGAAGGCTTTCCACAAGGGTTAAGAGTGTTTATGGGAATTTTTGACCATTTTTCCAGAAGCGCATTTGTGAGGTCAGACATTGATGTTGGACGGGAAGGCCTGGCTCGCAGTCTCCGCTCTAATTCATCCTAAAGGTGTTCTATCGGGTTGAGGTCAGGACTCTGTGCAGGCCAGTCAAGTTCTTCCACACCAAACTCGCTCATCCATGTCTTTATGGACCTTGCTTTGTGCACTGGTGCGCAGTTATGTTGGAACAGGAAGGGGCCATCCCCAAACTGCTCCCACAAAGTTGGCAGCATGAAATTGTCCACAATCTCTTGGTCTGCTGAAGCATTAAGAGTTCCTTTCACTGGAACTAAGGGGCCGAGCCCAACTCCTGAAAAACAGCCCCACACCATAATCCCCCTCCACCAAACTTTACACTTGGTACAATGCAGTCAGACAAGTACCGTTCTCCTGGCAACCACCAATCCCAGACTCGTCCATCGGATTGCCAGACAGAGAAGTGTGATTGGTCACTCCAGAGAACACGTCTCCACTGCTCTAGAGTCCAGTGGCGGCGCTTTACACCACTGCATTCGACACTTTGCATTGCGCTTGGTGATGTAAGGCTTGGATGCAGCTGCTCAGCCATGGAAACCCATTCCATGAAGCTCTCTACGCTGTTCTTGAGCTGATCTGAAGGCCACATGAAGTTTGGAGGTCTGTAGTGATTGACTCTGCAGAAAGTTGGAGACCTCTGCGCACTATGTTCCTCAGCATCCGCTGACCCCACTCTGTCATTTTACGTGGCCGACCACTTCGTGGCTGAGTTGCTGTCGTTCGCAATCGCTTCCACTTTGTTATAATACCACTGACAGTTGACTGTGGAATATTTAGTAGCGAGGGAATTTCAGGACTGGACTTGTTGCACAGGTAGCATCCTATCACGGTACCACGCTGGAGTTCACTGAGCTCCTGAGAGCGACACATTCTTTCACAAATGTCTGTAGAAGCAGTCTGCAGGCCTAGGTGCTTGGTTTTATACACCTGTGGCCATGGAAGTGATTGGAACACCTGAATTCAATGATTTGGATGGGAGAGTGAAAACTTTTGACAACATAGTGTATGTACATACCTCACTATTTTTAACGTGTTTGTGTTTCTTCACAGCTGCAGCAGTTCAGGTGATTTTACCCTCAGAGCCAAAAACCAGAGAAGATTTTCTACAGTGTATGTACACAATACACACACACACACACACACACACACACACACACACACACACACATGCACACACACACACACACACACACACACACACAAACATACAAACATACATAATTAGGATTGATGAAACTACTGAAATGTGAAAAGAAGGAAAATGTTTATTTATCAGTTTATTTTTCTTGTAATAAACACTTTCTGTAAATAAAATCTGAAACGATTATATTTCTTTTTCTCTTTGTTAGATTTCTGTCGGCTGACTCTGGATCCCAACACGGTGAATTGTTATCTCAGACTGTCTGAGAAGAACAGAGTGGTGACGTTCGGTGGGAAAGTCCAGCGTTACTCTGATCATCCAGAGAGATTTGACCACTGGTTTCAGGTGTTGTGTAAGGAGAGTGTGAGTGGACGCTGTTACTGGGAGGTTGAGTGGAGCAGTAGTGAGGGATGGCTGTACATCTCAGTCTCATATAAAGGGATCAGCAGGAAAGGAGATGGCTATGAGTGCAGGTTTGGACACAACAGTCAGTCCTGGAGTCTGCAGTGTTCTCCCTCTCTCTTTTTCTATCACAACAACATTCAGACTGAGATCTCAGCCTCATCATCCTCCAGAATAGGAGTGTATGTGGATCACAGTGCAGGAACTCTGTCCTTCTACAGCGTCTCTGACACAATGACCCTCCTACACACAGTCCACACCACATTCACTCAGCCTCTCTATGCTGGATTCTGGGTCAGTGGTTTACTTAATATTGATCGAGGAACTGTGAGGTTGTGTGATCCAAAATGATGTGTATGTTGTATATCATACTTATTTCATTTAAAGAATCAAGAGATCATTTACATGTGAAAAATATGTACAAATTTGTAAAAATATGAAAATGTTTTTTGTTTGTTTTTTTCTAGCTCATTGCAGAAAAGTAATTAATGTATGTACATATTTTAGACCTCATTCCTGGGTTTGGTTTAATTTTCTGGTTTGATTATCCTAAAAAGAAAATAAGATAATGTGTCAAAATTTTTTCACTAAGTGCTAAATAAAAAGTTACAGTTACAGTAAAGTGAAAGTGTAGAAATGAAATGCTAACTAGTGCTGAAAGTGTGTCCTTGTTTCCAGGTTCTACATCAGTATCTTACAGTGAGCCTTACAGTAGGATTTCCATTGACTTTACACACATTTCACAGGCAACAGAATGAAAAGGCATTAAAACGTTTTTGCTGCTGGACGCTCGTTTCCATCAAATTTACCCAGAAATAAAAACTCTTTATAAGCTTTGCTTCATTGATAAAATTGTATCACAAATTACACATTTTTTTGGGAGCTGTTTACAGTTCTTTTGTCTGAGGTAATCACCAACTAACAACGTTCTCCAAACACGACACAGAAATGAAATGATTGTTCACATGATACTAGAAACTGCTGTTTTAATGCACCACAGACCATTTATAGGAACACTTCACAAGAGAAGGAGTAGGAATCTGCTTTACCAGCTGTGGCTGCTTTGTTGGTTTGTAGAAGAGGCACATGATGACATATTTATGATAAATATTTCTGCTATAAAAATGTTTCCTGGTTTTTCAGCATCAATAAACAATACAGAAAGATTTGTGCATGTTTTCTGAGATGTCGTTGGTGATGTAGTCCTGAGACCCATTCCCAAAGTTGTGTTTCTCAAAATCTGCTTTCTGCACATACAGAACCAAAGATCTCTGCATTCATAACATTTTACATGATCATTCCTAAATCCATTCTGAATGATATTACTGGAGGATTTACTAAAGCCTTACTTATTATTTATACTAGAGTGAATTTTTTACATTTTTTCACATTAATATATCTATTCTCCTGACTGTGAATTCACAATGAACTACACATATTAATTCTAATATCACCCAAAGGCTTGATGTTTGTGCTGTAGACAAATGCAAAGTTACATATATATTAAACATTAAAACATCAAATACAAGACATAATTTTAAGAATGTTGATAATCAACTGGAACTTTAAAAAAATGGCCCTATTCACCTATTATCAGTATAACTCTCTACAGTCTAGACTCCAGAGACGGACTTTGAAGCAATGCTGTGCTCCACCATTTCTGGAACTTTTTAAGTGTATGAATATAGATTTTAGAATGAACCTTTTTTTTAATTTTATGCATTTGCATTGCAGTTTAAAGCTTCTGTTTGTGTGAGGCTGGATGCAACAAAACACAACGGAAAACTAAACTAAATACCTACAGCTAGATGAAGGAACACTAGAAACAGGCAACAGCAAACAAAGAGATCACACAGGCAATGCAAAACAAAGAGGCTGCGCAAACACAGGGGTATAAATACACTGAGAGGAAACAAGAAACACCTGGTGCTAATGAGAGGGTGGGGCTACAGACTACACACAGGTGAGACAGATGACAAGGAAGCAGGACAGAGGAGACTAAAACAACAACAAAAGCACATGGCAAAACACTCAAGGGAAGGTAAACAAAGGGAGACAGACAGAAACAAAGAAAGGCAAGGACAGAGCAAGACAGGATGGTAGACTGTTCACTAGCGTCAAAAATAGAAGCGTCAAAAATAGAAATGCTACAGCTCATTATGATAGTGTTACTGCTGAAGATAATGCGATTGCTAGCTTTCATACTGTAAATAGGGTAACTGCTAATGCAGATACTCATTCTATAAATTCTATAAAATATAAATGCTCATAGGTTCCTCCCGATAGAGACTGTGTCTGTTCCCCGAATAAAACAAAGCATCAAAAAGCCTCGAAAAGTCTGTTTCAGTAACTTGATTAATATCAGACTAGTTATACCAGTTTGCAGCGACAGCACCTTTGGCCTAAAACTAGGACTGCTTAATATAAGATCCCTTACTCCTAAAGCCGCCGTTGTTAATGACATTATTACCGATCACGGTTTTGATGCTCTGTGCCTCACAGAAACGTGGATTAGACCCGATGAATACTTTAGTCTAAACGAAGCCACACCCCCAGGCTACAACTATGCACATAGCCCTCACTTAAGCGGCCGAGGTGGAGGTATAGCAACCATCCATTCTAAAGCTTTAGGCGTGAGGCAGAAAGTAGGCTATACATTCTCTTCTTTTGAAGTTCTTTTTCTTAATATAAGTATTCAAGGAACACATAAAAATCCCTTTACACTAATTACAGTCTACAGGCCACCAGGGCCGTATTCTCAGTTCTTACAGGAATTCTCTGAGTTCCTATCAAGTCTAATAACGCTTTCAAATAAAATAATAGTTGTCGGAGATTTTAATATCCACTTAGACAATCCTCAAGATGCACTAAGCAAGGCATTTATATCTATCATAGACTCCATAGGTTTCACCCAAATCATAAAAGGGCCCACACACTACCACAACCACACTCTAGACTTAATACTGACTTTTGGTGTAAACATAGATAACTTTGCTTACTTAACCATTACTTAATCTCTTACGAAATTCACTTTAGTGGTAATGTGCGTTCATCACCATGTTACTGTGTCAAGCGGACAATAACTCCCTCCACAGCTGGTGGCTTTATTAGAAACCTTCCTAGATTATCAGCCTCTCTTAGCTGTCCATCTAGATGCTATGACCAAGCTCTTAGAGAATAGTTTTCGATCTACTCTAGATAGTGTGGCCCCATTAAAAAGTAAAATAGTAAGGCAGAAAAAACTCGCCCCTTGGTATAATGACCACACTCGGGCTTTAAAACAGAACGCCAGACAACTTGAGTGAAAATGGCGCCTGACTAAGCTAGAAGTGTTCCAGTCCGCCTGGAAGGAGAGCCTTACAGACTATAGACAAGCACTTGCTACAGCACGCTCAGCCTATCTCTCCTCTCTCATAGAAAACAATAAGAATAATCCTAGATTACTTTTTAGCACAATCTCTAAAATAACAGAGAACAAAACAGTTAGTGAACCCCAGATACCATCAGCCTATAGCAGCAACGATTTTATGAATTTCTTTAGTGATAAAATTGAAAAAATTAGGCAGAAAATTCAGAATACGCAATTAAACTCTAGAAACCTGCTGCCTTATAATGCCAGCCTCAACCTAGAAAATATTATAATTCCTGCAGAGAGGCTGGAATCGTTTACCTTACTCCAAGAAAATGAACTATTTAAAATAGTCTCTTCCGCAAAATCATCTACCTGTATGCTAGATCCGATTCCTACAGGTTTACTCAAGGAAATTCTGCCAGAAATAACCAGGCCTATTCTGTCAATAATAAACTCTCTTAGCCTTGGGTACATCCCAAAATCTTTTAAGCTAGCAGTAACCGCTGATTAAGAAAGCGAACCTCGATCCATGCGAACTTTCAAATTATAGACCCATCTCAAATCTCCCCTTTATATCGAAGATCTTGGAAAAAGTTGTAGCAAAACAATTAAGCTCCTATTTGCATAGGAATCAAATACATGAAAAATTTCAATCTGGTTTTAGGCCACATCATAGTACAGAAACAGCACTAGTAAAAATTGTAAATGATCTATTATTATTTTCTGACCAAGATCATGTGTCCTTGTTAGTCCTCCTCGATCTTAGTGCAGCATTTGACACAATAGACCACGCTATCTTACTTGACAGGGTAACAGGAATAGCTCTTTCCTGGTTCCGGTCCTACCTCACTGATCGCTATCAGTTTGTTAATATAAACGGTGAATCATCTGTTCTCACAAAAGTAAAGTATGGTGTTCCACAAGGCTCTGTTTTAGGACCTGTATTATTCACATTATATATGCTACCACTGGGCACCATTATCAGTAAACACGGCATAAATTTCCACTGCTATGCCGATGACACTCAGCTATATTTAGCAAGCGACCCAGATGATAGAATTAAACTTAGCAAGATTGAAGACTGTATACAAGACATAAAGGACTGGATGTCGAGTAACTTTCTCCTTCTAAACTCAGATAAAACAGAGGTTCTGCTTCTTGGTCCAAAAGCAGCCAGAAACGAACTGTCTAATCTAACACTTAAACTTAACAATTTCTCAGTTGCATCAAGCTCATCTGTAAAAAGCCTTGGTGTCATTATAGACCCTGATCTGTCCTTCGACGCACATATAACTAATATTACTAGAACAGCCTTCCTGCATCTCTGCAATATTGCTAAATTGAGAAATGCGTTTTCTCTACAGGATACAGAAAAGTTAGTTCATGCATTTATTACTTCAAGGCTAGATTACTGTAATGCCCTGCTGGCTGGATGTCCCAGCAAAAGAATTAACAAGCTTCAGTTGGTCCAGAACGCTGCAGCCAGAGTCCTTACTAGAACCAGAAAGTTTGACCATATCAGCCCAGTTTTATCAGCCTTACACTGGTTGCCAGTTAAATTTCGCATTGATTATAAAATTCTCTTACTGACTTATAAAGGACTAAATGGACTCGCCCCTCAGTACCCGAGTGAACTTCTCTCCCACTATGAACCATCACGCCTACTTAGATCACAAGGTGCTGCTCACTATTAGTACCCAGAATTAATAAAGTTATGTCAGGGGGGAGAGCTTTCTCATACAAAGCCCCCCAGCTTTGGAATAGTCTTCCTGTTAATGTTCGGGACTCAGACACAGCCTCGGTGTTTAAGTCTAAGCTAAAAACGTACTTGTATAGTCCAGCCTTTGGTAATTAGTTTTCCCTGTCAGTTCTATACCTGCCAGAGTCTCCGCTAACACTGTAATTTGTGATCGGTCACCCATTACAGAACTGACTCTCTGTGTGTTTTCCTTTCTTTTCTTCGCCGAGTTGAACAGCTGCCCATCCTGTGTGTTCTGATTTTTCTGCCTTGATCGGGTGCCACTTCTCGCCAGCCCTCTGGACCGGCTTACCAACATTGAGCCTCCTGCTGTTCAACGCCGTGCAAACCTCACCCTCACAACCTGACCCCACTGATACTACTGCTGTTGCTGCATGAACTATTCAAAATTATTCACTTGAACCAATCAATCATTCAAACTAATTCAAATTAATCAATCACCCATTGTAGAACTGACTGTGTGTTTTCCTCTCTTTCCTTTGCCGAGTTGAACAGCTGCACATCCTGATGCTGATGCCTCTGCTGCCTTGATCGGTGCCACTGCTCGCCGTGCAAACCTCACGCCCACAACCTGACCCCACTGATGCTGCTGCTGCCGCTGCTGCTGCATGAACTAAACTATTCAAATTAATTGTTTCCTTCACCCTTACCCTGTTTTTGCACTTTAATACTTTATACTAACAATGTTTACTATCCGGTGTCGACCAGAGGAGGATGGGTCCCCCTTCTGGGTCTTGGTTCCTCTCAAGGTTTCTTCCTGTTTCTCTTAGGGAGTTTTTCCTTGCCACTGTCGCCTCTGGCTTGCTCATGGGGGCTCGGACCCGGATTTCTTTTTGTAATGCTGATTTCTTTGTAAAGCTGCTTTGTGACAACACCTGTTGTAAAAAGCGCTATATAAATAAACTTTACTTACTTACTTACTTTACTTACTCAAACTGTTGGTGGAGGTAAAAGAGTTCAAGTTCTACTGCATCCCTGCTTCCACTGAAAGGTCTGTCTTTAGGACTTCATTCACCACTTACTGTTTGAGTCATTGAAACAGTTCTTGTTAATAATCTC